AACATACACCCTTCCTGATTTATCTACCTGGCTACAAGTCAAGTCACAGGCAAAACGTATTTCCAGCCGTGCTGCAGCCCTGTTCCAAACTGAGCCATCAAAGCCAGTCAGGAAGGAACGAGGAACCTTTGTCTTCAAAGAAAGGTCAGTGCCAGTTCTTCACACCATTGGAGGTGAAACAACACAAGTTCAGTCAGCAAACCCTAAGCACATCTCCAAAGTAAAACCATACTGTCCTCACTGTGACAATAAAGAACATTTTCTGAACTCTTGTGAAAACTTTAAGAAACTCAGCACTCGTCAAATTGTCACATGGTTGAAGGAGAGAAATTGATGTCAGCGATGCGGTCGCAATCACTCAATAGAGAGTTGCAACCTTAAGCGTCCATGCAAAATCTGTAAAGAGCTGCATCTTACCGTTCTCCATGATGCAATAAGAGACATTTCTAATCCAGTTCAGATGGTGAGCTCAGCTCCCACCAAGGTTTACCTTGATCGCCCAAATCGCTCCCAGCGGGTCATGCTGAAGGTGGTGAAGATTCTAATCCACAATGGGGATGAATCAATGGAGGCCCATGCAATATTAGATGATGGATCAGAACGAACAATAGTTCTATCATCTGTCATACAAACTCTCAATATCTCAGGAACACAGGAGATACTCCCATTGCAGACTGTTCATCAGGATGTTAAACAACTGGAAGGATTAGCCGTGTCCTTCGAGGTGTCACCCCTGTCTGAACCTGCAGAGAGGTATCAGATTTCCGACGCTTTCTCCGCTGATGGACTGAGCCTGGCAGAACATAGCTACCCTGTAGCTGCCCTCCAGAAGACCTACAAGCNGCTGCCACTGTTGCTTTATGTCTGGGGGAAGTAGTGGGTCATCCCAGTCTCGATGCTTCTCCCATAAATGACGGACTAGCACCTTAGCACATGTCGTGTATGGCAAGATGTAACCCAGAGGATCATACTGAGATGCAAGAACTTTATATATGTTCCTCATGGTCAAAAGTCCATAGTTGAGGGGTCTGTGTTTGTAGCCTATGAGGTCTTTGTGAATGTTCCAGCTGAGTCCAAGAGTGCTTTCAAAGGGGTCAGACTTATCCTGTGCCAGCCAGAGCTCTGTCGTGGGGGAACGAGCTTCGTTTGGTAGGTGACTAATCACCTCTGGTATGTTACTTGCCCATTGGCGAAGATCAAATCCTGCTGAAAGAAGCAATGCTCTTAGCTTATCAACTAAAGCCTTTGCTTCCTCTGCCGATGGTAAACTTTGTAGACAGTTGTCCACGTAAAAGCACCGCTCCACCGAAAACAGTACATCCTCTCCATCTTGGCTGTGGTCAGTGA